ACGTGAGTGGCACGACACACTGAGGACGACACTTGCGGCTCTTGGGTTCGCTCCCTCTACTGCTGACCCGTCGCTGTTTCTACGCACCGACACCTCGCTGCCGCCGTTCTACATCCTCGTGTACGTCGACGACTTGGTCTTTGCCACTGCTGACATTGCGGCACTCGCCCACGTGAAGTCGGAGCTGCAGAAGAGACACACGTGCACAGACCTGGGTGAACTGACAAGCTATCTTGGCTTGCGGATCACCCGGGACAGAGCACGGTGCACCATCACCTTGACTCAGTCACACATGGTGCAGCAGGTCCTTCAGCGCTTCCGCTTCACGTACTCCTCGCCTCAGTCCACTCCTTTGCCTACCGGTCACTCGCTCTCAGCTCTGCCTTCGGATGAGTCCGTAGAGCCGAGTGGCCTGTATCCAGAGCTTGTGGGCTGCCTCATGTACCTGATGACCTGCACTCGACCTGACCTTGCATACCCTCTTAGCATCCTTGCACGCTATGTCGCTCCTGGCCGTCACAGGAAAGAGCACATGGATGCCGCTAAGAGGGTGTTGCGCTACTTGTGCAGTACGTCAGGCATGGGGCTAGTGCTTGGAGGGCGAGACCGAGTTGTACTCACTGGACACTCAGACGCTTCTTGGGCGGACGACCAGGCTACTCAGCGGTCGTCTCAGGGTTACACCTTCAGCCTTGGCTCTGGCTCGGTTTCTTGGCGGTCTACTCGCTCCTCTTCTGTTCTCAGCTCCAGTTGTGAGGCTGAGATCTACGCCACAGCCATGGCGGCCCAGGAGCTACGCTGGCTGACCTACCTGCTGACCGACCTGGGAGAGCGGCCTCGTTCTCCTCCAGTTCTATACGTCGACAACAAGGCAGCCATTGCCTTGTGTGAGGAGCACAGACTGGAGCACAGAACGAAGCACATCGCCCTGCGTTACTTCCTTGCTCGAGAGCTGCAGCAGCGTGGTCAGCTTCGTCTGCGTTATGTGGCCACTGAGGCCAACACTGCTGATGTGTTCACCAAGGCGCTTCAGCCTTGTGACCATCAGCGTTTTTGCACTCTTCTAGGCCTTGTGCCTACTGGACCTCACTTGCTTACTTCTTGACTTTGTTTGTACTGTGATCTCTATATATATACCTGCATGTTTACTCTTGCTAGGTTGTGATCATTGTACCTCTTGCTCTATTATAAACCTGCATGTGAACTGGTCTTGTGACCACTTGCTTGTGCTCGGAATTTGTGTGGAATCCTCGAGATCCACCCTGAGCTTGTTTTGCCTTGCTTTGCCTTGACTGGTCTTGTGACCCCTAGTTCTCCCCCACTTCGCCTATGGGGGTGTGTCAAACATTATATATGTTGTGTTTGTTTAGGCTACAGTGGGTTAGCCTATAGGGGGTACACAATTCTAGGGTTAGGTACTTGTACTGATTTCACTGTTAGTTCAATCATTCCTGTTCGTTCATTCTGACAAGCGGTCCCCTGCAGCTCGACGAAGCCTGTCGAGCAGCTCTCCCACTGTGAATAGTCGGGTGCAACTCTCATACATCCAACCAAGCCGTCGGCGTTGCCCAAGCGAGGGCGGGGCCAACACTCCACTCACGTTAATAGCTGAAGCTATGGTGTGGGCTCAGTTCGGCAGCCACGGAAGAAGGACGGAAGAAAAATTGTCCCTTCTTCATCGAAGCTTCTAATCGCATTATCGAGGGCAAAACAGTGTGGGCTGTAGGGTAAAACTTTCGGAAATCTAAGCGCAGGTGTTTAGCAGCAGCGACGCGGGCACCACCTAAAATTGATTCCGCGCCGTCTTCTGTCCTTATTTTCCCCCCACTGGCGGAAAGCTTTGTCAGAATGCTATTATTGTCTAGCCTGCAGTGGGGTACTCTATAGCGAGTACAACCCAATTAGGGTTTCCTATATGTATGCCAACTGCTGCTAGTGCAAACCCCTCCTTTCTTCATTCTTACTTTCTACAGCTAGTTCTGACATGCTATCAGAGCAGGTCGACCCTCCTGGGTCGATCCTGTGGGTGGGCCCGCCACCTAATGCTTCCGCTGCTGTCCTGCTTATCGCGCGCCTCGGGCGCGCGACGTTTTCTGCCTACTGCGCGCTCGCAAGGCGCGGCGTTTTTAGGGTTTCGGCGGTTTTCATCCCGCCGTGCGCTCGGGGCGCGCGGCGGTTTTCTGCCCGCCGTGCGCCCCGAGGCGCGCGGCGGTTTCCCACCGTCGAAGTGCCCCCCGTCGCCCGTCGAAGCGCCCTCCCCCCGTCGCCCGTCGAAGCGCCCCCGTCGCCCGCCAAAACACCCCCGACGCCCGTCGAAGCGCCCCTGGGACCCGCGCGCGGCCCGTACGGGCTGCGCCAGGCCCGCGCGCGGCCCGTACGGGCTGCGCCAGGCCCGCGCGCGGCCCGTACAGCCCGCGCGCGGCCCGTACGGGCTGCGCCAGGCCCGCGCGCGGCCCGTACGGGCTGCGCCAGGCCAGCGCGCGGCGCGGGCAGCCTGCGCGCGCCTCGTCCGTCCCCCTCTCGCCGTCCCCCGCGCTCCTGCCCCTATCCCACCCGTTTTAGGGTTTGGGGATGTGGAGTGTGGGGGTGGCGGGTGTGGGGGTGCCGGTTGTGTGCCCCGTCCCCTCCTTCTCCTCCTCCTCCGTCTCCCGCTGCTGCAGCTGCCGCTCAGGGGGGTGGTTGTGTGGGGAGCCGAAGGAGTGGTCCTAGGGGGGTGAAGGGGGAGTGGAGCTAGGGGCGCAGCAGGGGGTGTGTGTCGAGGGGTGTGGGACTGTTGGGGGAGGTTGAGCGGAGGCCGCCGTCGTGTCGTCTGCAGCGCCTGTATTCCGGGGTTCTGATAGCCACCGGTAGCTCAGAGAGCCGGTTGCACCTGTCGCCCGTGGGTCCGTTGCTCCTGTCGCTGCTGATCAGACGCAGAGCCTGTTACTCCTGTATTCCGGGGCACTTGCTCCCGGTAGCCACTAGAGTTGCACCAGAGCCGTCTGTTGCCCGTGTGTCTGCAGCTTCAGTCGTCGCCTCCACTCTTCTCTCCTCTCGCCAGCCCTCCTCCTCCTCGCTTGCCCTCTGTGACTGCCTCTAGCTTTGCTCATAATTGTGAACTTTAAACTATTGCTTCTTGAACTTGTGCTCAGAATGTGTGGTGACATTGTGATCCACCCTGAGCTTGTACTGCTTTGCTTGCTCTGCTGATTACACCCCCACTTTGGCTATGGGGGTGTGTCAGAATGCTATTATTGTCTAGCCTGCAGTGGGGTACTCTATAGCGAGTACAACCCAATTAGGGTTTCCTATATGTATGCCAACTGCTGCTAGTGCAAACCCCTCCTTTTTTTTCATTCTTACTTTCTACAGCTAGTTCTGACAAGCTTCCGCCCTGATGAGACGGAAGAATAAAGATTCTCCCACAACATAAGAATCGACTTTTTTATTCCAAAAAAATCACTGTTCACGGGACAACATTGCGCAAAAAAAAATAAAAAAGTGTTAATGCACAAAAAAACTTTACTCCAATAGCGTGGGGCGGTAATCCCTTTTATCGTTTGGGGCGAGCCCGCTACAGTGCCGTGGGCCATTCGAATGTCCAGGCAAATGTGCCTGGACATGCATGGTGTTTCCAATCTTCCCCCTCCAACCTGCGCCAGCTCCTCCGCGGCGCAGGTTGTTCACAGAGCGGTCAATCTGGGGTCAAAATTCGTTGACCTTGGGTTGACGCCTGCCTTACCTTCGCCTCATCTTCCTTTTTTTCTTCCGCGTAGCTGCCGAACTGAGCCGTGATGTGCGTTGCTTCACGTGTCGTATTTTGCGCCAGGCGTCCTAATAGCAGCTCAAAACGAACCTCACAAATTTCTGCCGCTTCTCTTTTAGCCCCTACACCACATGCCACTCCTCCCTTCCACTCTTCTTCCCACTTCCACCTTAAAGTCGGGCAAGCCTTTCTCAATACGATCATAGTCCACAAGGGGCTCGACGCACGCCATCGCGAAAAGGTTTGTGGACACAAAAGTGTGCACGGTAGCTTTTCTTGCGGAAAAGTTGCGAAAAAACAACTGGGAGCTGCTGAAAAGCCCTAGGGGTCAATGTTGCATGAATGTCACTACCATGCCGCAACTGGAAAGTTACGACAATATCACTTCTGCCCATTAGTGTATCCGTACATTTGCACACAACTCGTGATCGAAGTGGTAAACATCGGTTCAGTATGTTTTCTACTAGGTTGAGGGCCTAAACCTAATTGTACCGCCCACGAAATGTTACTGGTCCTTGCGAAATTCCGAAAATCGAGAACATCAACAACCAATCAGGAAGCAGCGACTACGTTTCATGCAAACGAAATTAGCAGAGTTTGCATAGTGTCGCCAAACTCCAAATGCCAAACGTTTTGCATCAAACCCAACTCTCGCTTACTTGTAACCAATCGAGAGAGGGAGCAAAGGTGTTGCACCAATCGCAATTATTCCCTTATCTCCACGTCAACTTCCCACAGCTTCTCGAATGTTCCTTCAACCATTTCTTCTTTACCGGTTCTTCTCAACCTGTTCTTCTCTGCCATTCTCTCGTCCAGTTTTACATCGTGCCTCAAACTCTAGAAGCACTTGTTCTTTCTCTTATCTCGCCCCTTTCTCCTCTCTCCAGATCTTTCATTATTATATTTTCTTCACTAATGGAACATCGCCCTACTGTGTTCTTGGTATGTTGCTATATTTTCAAGCTAGTACTCCTGATCTAGTGCTGTACTAATTCCCTCGTTTTGTGGCTTTCTACTGCTGGTTGCAGCTACGATTCGCATGTTACCGTCTATTGGAGACGCCTAGTCGTCTTAAACCAAACCGCGGGTGACCGACGACACAATTACTCTCCTTTCTCGATAGGTGGCTATCTTGTCGTTTTTTTTTTTTGTATTTTAATTTCTTTTCAGCGATGTCTTTTCGTACGGTTATTATGGATATGATGCTCAAGATGTGCTTACCATTCTGTGCACAGGACGGAGTGCAAAGGTGAGTATGGAGTGCGTATTGTCTTGATCGGTTTAAGTTGTATTGTGTGCAGAAATGTTATTTTCTAAAGTGGGCGAGGTGGAGCTGTTCGGTGACTACCACCCATATGGGGTACAACCCAATGTTACGGTTTCTATTTGTACCCAAACTTCCTCATATTTCATCATTCCTGCTGCTAGATTCTGACATGGTATCAGAGCAGTAGGTCCGTAGGACCGTTTTTTTTTTCGGGCCCACCATTACCTAGTAACCGACTACGATTACCGCGTTACCCCCACGCCTTGCCCTGCGCTGCGCCGTCAGCGCGCGCCCTGCTCTGCCCTGCCTTGCGTCACACTGCCTGTGTACGCCCTGCCCCGCGTCGCGCTGCCCCGCGCACGCCCTGCCCTGCCCTGCGTCGCGCTGCCCCGCGCACGCCCTGCCCTGCCCCGCGTCGCGCTGCCCCGCGCACGCCCTGCCCTGCCCCGCGTCGCGCTGCCCCGCGCACGCCCTGCCCTGCCCCGCGTCGCGTTGCCCGCGCACTCCCTGCCCTGCCCTGCGACCTGCTGTAGCATGCGCCCTGCTGCTCTTCGCGTCGCGCCCTGCTGCAGCCCGCGCGTCGCGCCCTGCTGCCCTGCGCGTCGCGCCCTACGGCAGCCCGCGCGTCGCGCGCTGCTGCCCCGCACGTCCGCGCTGCCTTCCCTACTACTCGTGCTGCTGCCTTCCCTCCGCACTCCCCTCCTAGTTGCGCGCCTCCCTGCTTGCCCGCTATGATTTCACTTCGTAGTAACGGTGGGAGTAGTTACGGCGGTGGTGGCAGCAGTTGGAGTGGTGGCGGCGGCCGTACTGGCGGTTGCGGTGGAGCTGTTCAGTGCAGAGTTTCTGGCGGTGGCCAGATGCAGCTGCAGCAGCGTCCGCGCGAGACCCTTACGCGCCATCAGCTTCGTGAGTGGTACGCCAGCCGGTGTCGCATCAGCAGCTGTAGTGGTAGTCACGGTGGAGCTGTTCGGTGCGGAGTTTCTGGCGGTGGCCAGGTGCAGCTGCAGCAGCGTCCGAGCGAGACCCTCACCTACTCCACCCTCACGACCCACTCATTTAGCCTCATTGGCTACGTGGACGCCGATCGTGCCGCCGACCCTGCAAATCGACGGTTTCGAACCGGCTTTCTTTTCCGCCTCGAGCACACAAAAACAGGAAATGGTGGCACTCTCTTCTGTCTAAGCCGAATTCATCGCCACTAGGTCAGCAGTTTGCAGAATTCTACCTCCAGAAACTGCTTCAGGGGCCGAAAATCGCGACACCTGAGAACTTCAAACTTCAATGCGACAACCAGAGCACAATCAAGATCGCGAACAAGCACGGCTTCGTCAACCGCATCAAGCACAACGCACTCTAGTGTCGAAACAGCAGGCAGAAAGTAAAAACAGGAAAGGGGGGGTTGCACTAGCAGCAGGTAGGATACATATAGAAAACCCTAGTAAGGGTAGTTCTCACAATGATAAGCTAGAGGCTATTACAGAGGGCTAGTGAGGAGGAGGAGAAACTATGAGGGCGAGAAGATGGGAGGCAACGGCTGAAGCTGCAGACACACGGGTAACAGGAGCACGCACACTGTGGCTACCAGGCGCAGAGCCCCGGACTACACGGCGACAGGCGCAGCTGGCTCTCTGGGCTACCAGGAGCGCGCACACTATGGCTACCAGGCGCAGAGCCCCAGACTACACGGCGAGAGGCGCAGCTGGCTCTCTGGGCTACCAGGCTAAACCCCGGACTACAGGCGCTGCGGACGACAAGACGGCTGCCTCCACTCAACCTCCCCCAGCTGTCCCACACCCCTTTCACACACCCCCTGCTGTACCCCTAGCACTGCTCACACGCCACCCCCCTCGTACCACTCCGACGGCTCCAACACATCCACCCCCCTCAGCGGCAGCTGCAGCAGTGGGAGACGGAGGAGGAGGAGGAGCAGGGGACGGTGCATACACCCCTAGACTCGCCACCCCCAAACCCTAACCAGGCATCACGAGGCAGGAGCGCGGGCAGCAGCGGGGGGTGGTGCGCGAGCAGCAGCTCGCGGGACGGCGCGCGGCTCCCCAGGGCGCCGCGACGGGGCAGCGGGGGCCGCGCGCGGCTCCCCAGGGCGCCGCAACGAGCCAGGGGGGGGCCGCGCGCGGCTCCCCAGGGCGTCGCGACGAGGGTGCGGGGGCCGCGCGCGGCTCCCCAAGGCGCCCGACGGGGCAGCGGGGGCGACGCGCAGGCCCGCGGGGCGACGCGACGAAAGCCCGGGAGGGGGATACGCAGGTGCCCAGGGTGACGCGCGTGGCAGAAAACCGCCGCGCGCCCCGAGCGCGCGGTGGGCAGAAAGCCGCCATGCGCCGCGAGCGCGTGGCAGAAGAAGAAGAAGAAGAAGAAGAAGAAGAAGAAGAAGAAGAAGAAGAAGAAGAAGAAGAAGAAGAAGAAGAAGAAGAAGAAGAAGAAGAAGAAGAAGAAGAAGAAGAAGAAGAAGAAGAAGAAGAAGAAGAAGAAGAAGAAGAAGAAGAAGAAAGAAGAAGAAGAAGAAGAAGAAGAAGAAGAAGAAGAAGAAGAAGAAGAAGAAGAAGAAGAAGAAGAAGAAGAAGAAGAAGAAAAATGCCAGGACAGCAGGACAGCAGCGGAAGCAGGCGGGCCCACATGCCAGGAGCGAAACAGCTCTGATAGCATGTCGAAACAGCATGCAGAAAGTAAAAGCAGGAAAGGGGGGTTTGCACTAGCAGCAGGTAGGATACATATAGGAAACCCTAGTTTGGGTTGTACTCACTATAGAGTACCCCACTGCAGGCTAGACAAATAGAACATTCTGACATCTACTACTTCTTCGTTAAAGATGAAGTTGAAAAAGGGAAAGACATATTGGCTTACAGCCCCACCGATGATATGGCAGCTGACTTCCCCATAATGAGGCTGCCACGTTAGCAGTATCAGCACTGTGCGAACATCTGCGGTATAACCAAGCGCGTCAAGACTTCGCTTTTGCAGGAATGAAGGGGAGTGTGACGATATGAAATTGTTGCATAACAACACTGTAGTAGCAAAACTATAACGTGAAGATGGGTGCAGCGAGGACGAAGACCGAACGACACAAACAGTTTTCGAAGATGATTGAAAGTGCGAAGAATTTGAAGTGCAGACGTGGAAAATGCATTCAAACAGTTACCGAGGCATGACTCGTTACCGAACCGCACGGTTGGCATTCCCAATCTAGATTAACCCTAGGGGGAATGTCACCACTCAGAGTACATTGCTAGCCATGATCGTTCGTATTTCCCTGTATTCCTATATAAACCCCGGTACCGCACTGCAATATTGACGAGTTTAAAATATCCTTCCGTCCTTTGTCGAGATTAAAATCTCATTCTGACAGGGTCCGCACCCGACCTGACTAGCAAACTTCTGCAACTACACCACTGTGTGATCAACCTGAGATGCGTCCAGATTTGTAGGAATTTTATGTTTCAAAAAAGAAAATTCTGTGTCACTAAATTTATAACTACATGTCAAAGGAGGAAAATGCAACACATTACGAAGTACTACTATTGTACATTCTGATTTTATAATAACTTAAACAATTCTGAAAGTATATGTTGTAACAAACGCTCGGACATTGTCAGTCGCGAACCAGCCTTCTTCGCGACACACAACGTAGAAAACATACCTCCCCACACCAGAAGATGGGGTGGCGAAGTGGTACCTCCCTCTCTACACAGCGGCAGCGGCATATTTTAGGGTTTACTAGGCACTTGTAAGTTGCGTGCGACATTCCTTGTAGGTTAGCTAGCAGGCATATTGGTCTACATAGGCACCCCTTTGGGTTGACTCCCGCTGTTTTTGTTTTTCTTGCCCGCTGGAAACTCGCTTGGGCGGATCGTGACGTTGACGTTTTACGCGGGCGGCACCAGAACCCGTTCTTTACTCGCGCGGACATCATTGGCGCGCGTATGTTCAGCCTCGGCACGGCACCCCCATGGCCCTTGTACAGCAACCCCAAGCCAAAACAGTCAACGGGTCCTTCAGAACCCAGCTGACGCTGGCAGTCGAATGAACCGTTCAGAACATGCGGGTGACAATGTGGGCGGGCACTGCTGGCAGCAGAGCACGTTCTTTCCTATTTGCGCGGCACCGACACTGCGTTGGCACCGTTCCGCGTCGCCATCGGGCGGATGTATATGTGGCGTCCCCGGCGGCCTTTGTAGCACCCCCAAGCCAGTGTAGCCAACGGGCCTTGGCAGTAACGCTGGCATCAGCCGCCGTGTCAGAACGTAGGGTGCCATCGTCGCTACGTGGAGACCAGATCCGCGCTCTTCGTTTGCGGGCAAAGGGACGTTGACACCTGTATGTTCCGCGTCAGCACGACGACACTTCCATGGGTTCTATTGGCCGCCCAGCAGTCTCACCTGAGAGCCTGCCTGGGCACCCCTTTGGGATGACTCCGCTGCCTTTGTTGATCTTACCTGGGCGCTCCCCACTCCCCGTTTTCCAGAAAAGATTCCGCGTCGAGGCGCTACACGGCTGTGGGTTGCCTGACAGCAGTGAGTGCCCCCTCTCAACATAAATATGTTCCTTTCACAGCCAGTACCGTCATTTCACCTTGCGAGTGTGAATTTCAGCTCTCTCCTGAAGATTGAGTGTTCGTTTCTCTTGGCACACTCTCCCGCTCCCACAGTGCTTCCAAATACACGACGACTGCGAGAATGGCTTATTCGCGAACAGCCGACGTGTTCGTGCTGCTGCTGCACGCGGTGTGCTTCTCGTCGCCGCGTCGTCTCGTGGCGGGACACGTGTGGCCTTCCAATGCGGAGGGCATCCGCCGCGAGATGGCCGTCAAGGCGCCTGGTGAGCGTTTTAACCAGTTGTCTGAGGGACTTCAGTCGTCTGAAGGACTCCAGTCGTCTGAGGGACTCCAATCATCTGAGAGACTGACTGCAGTCGTATGAGGGTCTGCCATTCCATCTCAAACTGTTTCGAGAATTTAATCTCCTCATTTCCTCCCCCCACTCTACAGCCACATGCCCCGCCAGCGTGGTGGACAGCGGCGGCTTCCCCTTTTGCAAGTGCCTGAGCGGGCAGGCCATCATCAACGGCGCATGCTTCGGCGGCATGATGAGCTGGAAGACGGTCGGCACGAGCGTGGTGCTCTACAACGCCGCCTCCTTCGCCAACTCGCCTGCCCCGCTCGCACCAGCCGTGCTACGCGCGCTAGCACCAAACACCTCAGCCTGTACTGTCGTCCCGAAAGGGTTCAACGGCACGGTGGGGTCGCTGCGCATCATGTGGAACGTGAATGACGGCGCGCCTGAGCACCTGGTGTGCGGCAAGGTGGTGATCTGGGACAAGTCCGACTGCTCGGGTTCTTCATCGGTGTTTGAGATTCCCGGCAAGTGGACCGCAGCGAGTGCCACCAAGTTCAACTACGCCACCACCAGCGTCAAGTGTGTCGCAGCGACCACTGACTCCCGCACACGATGACCTGCGTTGGCCGTTCCATACAATCATTGTGACTCACTCACTCTGCTTGTGTGGGCTGTTGGGATGGCCTTGCTGCAGCACAACACCGCTGCCAACATCTGATTCCCGTTAAAGATGGCGCCCTTGCAGGGTTTCCTGTGTTGACTGTTGCTTTGCTTGTGTTTGCCCGCACTGATTGTGACTCTGCCCTGCGTGGTGCCTGTTGCGACGGGTGGAGAGCAGGAAGGCAGCGGGCGTGGTCGCCTTGGGCAGGTCCTTCTCGTACCTAGCAGCTGTCAAGCCGCCCGTCACGGACCTCTGAGCCACGGCGACATGCCCGCCCAACTCCAAGTGCGTCTTGAAGAACAGCACCTTCGCCCAGTGCGTGTGCGACTTTGGACTGACCTTGGTTCCCGAGGGCTACTGTGTTGGTGAGTCGTCGCCATGCCATAATGGCGTGAAGTGGAGGGGACCATGGGAGGGGAATCATGCATAGCCCCTGCTGCACACGTGAATTGATTCATGCACTTCCATCCATCGCCGCTTCCCCTCCTCTCGTCCTCTCTCCATTGTCACGTGCTCGAGATGCCCTTTGCTCTCATTGGTCCGTTTTTGCGTAAAACGGCTTCATGCATGCACACTCCTTTCTTTCATTCTTTTATTTTTTTCTCTTCTGTTGCAGATTTGTGCCAGGTCAAGCAGTGCGGCAAGGGTGGCTTCTGTGTGATTCTATCGAACGGTCAGCCATACTGTGATTGCAAGGATGGCTACGAGCAGGAGTTTGTAACTGGCTCATGCATTGGTATGTGTGCACCTGCATTGGTATGTGTGCACATGCATTGGTATGTGTGTGTGCTTAGTATGTGTGCTTACATTGGTGTCTCATGCTCTCTATCTCACTCTTCCCTTTCCACTTTTTCCATCTCATCATACCCTTTTCCATACTCTCTCCCCATCCTATACTCTCCCCCGTCCTCCCCATCCATACCCACCTCCCTTTCCCGCTCTTGCTTCCTTGTTATCCCACGTAAATCACACCTGTTATTACCAATCCCCCTTTGAGAATTGTCGTCTTCAGTCCCCTCTGTGCACAACGTCTTTTTTCCTCAACCCCCATGGTGCCTACAGGAGAGGGCCAGTACAAGGACTGCCTTCAGGATACCTTTGGCATGTTTGATGCACCGTACCCTTACTGCCCACCGGGCTTCAACCAGCACTCTGGTGCTTGCCTGCCAGGTCAGTTACAGTACTGCAGCCTGCCAGGTGACTATTGTAGCTCTTGCAGGCTATGCATGCCCGTGCGATTTACAGGATAGTACTTACTATGTGCTTGCTGCTTCACCTTCACCGTCATTTCAGGAAACCATCTAGTGCCTGTTTTGTTTTGTTTTGTTTTTTTTGCCAACTTATGCTGTCTCTGCCTGCTCTTTTCTCCTTGCCACCACTCCCCTGCGTCCAATCGTCCAATCACCTTGCCGTGCCTTGCCTCACCTCGCCTCGCAGGAGTCCTTCCCAACGTGGCAGACGTGGCCAGCAGCATCTACAGCATGCCTGCCCTCGGCGGCACGGACCCGCCCTACCTCTTCTGCCTCAAGCCCAACAATTGCGTCACCATCCTGCCGGCCATCATCGCCAGCAGCAAGTCCGTTGGCATGGTGTTTCGTGCGCCGGGGATGAACGTGAGGTGCGCGACGATCACCATCTACGATGAGCTCTTCTGCAAGGGCAACGCAATGAGCTCCGACGTGCCCTCTGGCAATGACATTTATGACGGCAGCATTCTGTGAGTCTCTCCCTCTCTATCCCCTCTCCCTCTCCCTCTCCTCTCCCTCTCCCTCTCTCCCCCTCTCCTCCCTCTCCTCCCTCTCCTCCCTCTCCTCCCTCTCCTCCCTCTCCTCCCTCTCCTCCCTCTCCTCCCTCTCCTCCCTCTCCTCCCTCTCCTCCCTCTCCTCCCTCTTCCCCTCTCCTCCCTCTCCTCCCTCTCCTCCCTCTCCTCCCTCTCATCCCTCTCTCCCTCTCCTCCATCTCTCCCTCCCTCCCCTCTCCCTCTCCTCCCTCTCTCCCTCTCCTCCCTCTCTCCCTCTCCTCCATCTCTCCTTCTCCTCCCTCTCCTCACTCTCCTCCCCTTCTCCCTCCCAAGTGCTCTTTCCCTTTAGGTCTGCCCTCCAACTTCCTTGTCTCTAGCCCTCAACGCCCACAATTTTTGCCATTATCCGCATCGCATGCGTGAACTCTCAAATAATCGCCATCTTTTAATCTTCATGTTTATCTCATCAGGAACAATGGGCTGTGGAAGCCCTTGTCTGTTCAGTGCTTTCTGTGGGCTGTATGAGGCTCTGCCTGGGAAGACTGCCTGGGAAGACATCAAGTTTTGAGATCTGAAGTCCAAGTACCAGAAGGCTGCATGGCATCGGAAGAAAAGTTCTAGACGTTCAGAACTTGGTAGTTGATCCCTTGTGGGCATCAAGTAGTTCTTCGCTAGGAGCTTCCTTCTTCCCCTCCCTGTTCCCTTCCCTCCCTTCTCTTCTCCCCCTTTTCCCTTCTTGCGGTTCCACTCTCCGTCGTCTCTGTCTGTCCTTACTCTTCCCTTCCTGTTGATTAAAGGACGGTACCTAGCATAGTTTCTGTCCGTTGTGGCAGAACTGGTACTGTAATACTGTGATAGAGAATTCTGTCACGATTTTGGTGTGCAGTCCTGCTCTTTTGATCCCCTTTTCATGGACCTGGTGGGCTAGTTTCTTCACGAATCAACCCTGGATAAGCCACCCCTTGAAACTACCGGAGCCCCAGCATAGCTTTTGCTTTCAGCCAACTTTTTCTATACCCTCCTTGAGACCAAGATTGTTTTCAAGACATACCGTATTGCATAAGCCACCCCTTGAAACTACGAGAAACCCCAGGGTAGCTTTTGCTTCAACGAAGTTTTGCTATGCCCTCCAGTAAGTGGCTGGAGAACGAAAACTGCCAAGTGTACACAGCTGGCACCGAGACAGTCAGGCACGAGCGGGCATGAGATGGGATGGGAGGAGACGAGGTGAAAGGAATGAGAGAGAAGGCGGAGCTATGCCTGTGCGGCCATGAGGTGCGCAGTCATGAGCACACACTGCAGCGTGCTGTGGCGCAGCGAGAAGGTGTCGCCGAGCGAGCGAGCAGTCATCGGAGAAGGGATAGTGTCGTGAGGTGGGTGGAGACGAGGTGAAAAGGAGCAAGAGCTGGTTAAGCACGGGCAGCCATGAGGTGAGCCGACACGAGCACGAACTGCAGTGCACTGTGGGGCAGTGAGAAGGTGTCGCCCAGTGAGTAGTCGGAGAAGGCCGGGTCGAGCGGCACAAAGCGCCCCACGAGGCCCTGTGCTGCCACCAGGTCGTGCCAGATGGCCAGGAAGTCAAGGAGAAGGGGGCGTGCGTCGGGGAGGGACGAGGTTGGCAGGTATTCGATCTGATTGGGGGAAGGATGGGAGGTGGGGATGGGGCGAAAAGTGGGAAAGGGATGGGGATGGGGATGTCAAAACAATGGGAATGTCACTGAGAAACTCTGACCCCCCCATGAGGCCCTGTGCTGCCACCAGGTCATGCCACATGGCCAGGAAGTCGAGGAGGAGGGGGCACGCATCGGGGAGGGACAAATTGGCAGGTATTCGATCTGATGGGGAAGGTAGGGAGGGTGTGAGAAGTGGATGGGCGTGGGAAAGTGGACAGATAAGGAGGATGAGACGTTGTAATTGCGCCACCATGCGGTCGTGCCTGATTGAGCCAGGAAGTTGAGGAGGAGATGTGCGGGAGGGATGAGGTGGGCAGGTACTCTACCTGATGAGAGGGGGAAGATGAGGAGGAGATGGGGAGCAGACAGGGAGCAGAGGGGAGGAGGTGAACAGAGGGAGAGAGTTAAATACGGGAGGAAGGATGTGGGAGGTATTGCACCTAACCAGGGGATATGGTTGTGGGAGTAGGCAGGGGGAAAATTTGAGGTACTGGGAAGAAATGAATGCGAAGGGAAGGTTATGAGGAGAGGGAAAGCAATATGAAGCACGGAGATGAAGCCACTTGCATATGAAGCTTTGAGCTGAGATCAATCACCCATCGTCTCACACATGCATTGCCCCACATGCATCGCCTCGCACGTGCATCGCATTGCAGATTCAGTTTTGGAAAGCCAAATGGGCCAAGTCGGATGATCAAGGAAGGGACACTATTTCACAACAAGAACATAAAGGGCATGTGAGCTGCCCCACCTCCCACAAAGTGCATGTGAGCTGCCCCACCTCCCACAAAGTGCATGTGAGCTGCCCCACCTCCCACAAAGTGCATGTGAGCTGCCCCACCTCCCACAAAGTGCATGTGAGCTGCCCCACCTCCCACAAAGTGCATGTGAGCTGCCCCACCTCCCACAAAGTGCATGTGAGCTGCCCCACCTCCCACAAAGTGCTTGTGAGCTGCCCCACCTCCCACAAAGTGCTTGTGAGCTGCCCCACCTCCCACAAAGTGCATGTGAGCTGCCCCACCTCCCACAAAGTGCATGTGAGCTGCCCCATCTCCCACAAAGTGCATGTGAGCTGCCCCACCTCCCACAAAGTGCATGTGAGCTGCCCCACCTCCCACAAAGTGCATGTGAGCTGCCCCACCTCCCACAAAGTGCATGTGAGCTGCCCCACCTCCCACAAAGTGCATGTGAGCTGCCCCACCTCCCACAAAGTGCTTGTGAGCTGCCCCACCTCCCACAAAGTGCTTGTGAGCTGCCCCACCTCCCACAAAGTGCATGTGAGCTGCCCCACCTCCCACAAAGTGCATGTGAGCTGCCCCACCTCCCACAAAGTGCATGTGAGCTGCCCCACCTCCCACAAAGTGCATGTGAGCTGCCCCACCTCCCACAAAGCCCTATCTGTTCCCAATGCTTCACCTCCTCCCCCCCCCCCCCCCCCCCCCCCCCCAATCACCACCCATCTCCTCATCCCTCACCTCCACCACCACTTCTCACCTCCACCACAAGCTTTCTCTTTCCACAATGCCCCATCTGCCCTTTTACAAGACCACACATCCTCATCCCCTCACCTCCCTCACAACGTCTCACCTCCACCACAATGCCTCGCAGCGCCTCATTGGTGGAGAGAATGGCCCGACCAAGTCGCATGGCAAAATCCCCTATCAGATACTCAAAGCCCTGCCGTGTGAAGAGTGGGAGGGTGGAAAGCGGGAGGGCGGCAGAGAGGACAGGGAGAGAGGACGAAGGGGAGAGAGAGAGACAACGCGCGAGGAAGAGGGCAAGCAGGGTTGGAAGAGAGAGAGAAGCGTTGAAACTTGAGGTGGTAAAAAGCAGCGTAAAAAGCTGGTGAGTAATAAGACAGGGTTCAGCCATGCAAGCTGGGCAGAGAGGCGGAAGAGGAGAGCATGGGTGAAGCAGCACGCATGGTCACCATGTGCGCTGGCCTCTCTCACCCTTATCCCGACTCCTTCTTTTCCTGCCTGGGTGAAGCAGCACGCATGGCCATTTATGTGTCAAGGCCTTGCTCAACCATCCATCCCCTCCCCTCTTTTCCCTTCCCCCTTTTCATCAAGGAAGACCTGACCTCGTAGACAGAAAAGTTGAGCAGCGTGAGTTTTGGGAGGGCTCTCAAACACCTCTGACAAAAAGCACGAGCGCCAAAGCACAGCACTTCGTAGACAACGGAGACAGTGTGGCATCGGACAGGGCAGAGTGCGGTGCACTGCAGTAAGTGAGTATTTGCCCCATCTTGTAGACGATGAAGAGGCGGTGGCGGTACAGCTGAAGGGTCTCCATGAGCGGCTTCAGCAATGAGGGCCCTGAGGAGTGGGTTCTCACCTCCCATCCGACCAGTGAAGGAGGGCCTCACCTCATAGACGATGAAGAAGCGGTGGCGGTACCGCTGCAGCAACAGGAACCCCAGGGAAGGCGGTTTTTCCACGGGGGAAGAGAGAGCTGACCTCATAGACAATAGAGAGGCGGTGGCGGTAGAGCTGCAGTGTCTCCATGAGCGTCTGCACGGTGCTCTCCGCCTCCACCACCATGCGCTCTTGCCGCAGCACCAGGAAGTGCCGACCCGCCACGTCAGCAAACGACACGCCGAACAGCTCCCGTGCTGCCGCCACGTCAGACTGGGATGGCGGCGCCCCTGCCGTGTCTGGCGCAGGTGGGGGTGGTGGAAGAAGTTGGTAGAAGGATGATAGCATAAGGAGCTGAAAATAGGAGGCGGCATAAGGGGGGAGCAAAAGAGGGTGGTAAGACAGGGGTTGGAGGAGAGCAGACAGGGGCGACAAGGCGACAAAAGTGAGCGGTTGAAAGGTGTGATAGGAGGGGTTGCTAGGAGCGGGTGGGAGAAGGAATGCGGAAGTAGGGAAGGGAGCGCTGAACGCGCTGTTGCTTTGAGGCCAGCTGAGCCCACTTCTGGATTCCTCCTCCACTACTACCACCATACCATGCAACACAAGCAATGCCATACCTCACAATAGCCCCTTATTTCTTCATTCCCACTCCTCAAATTACCACTCTTGTTCCTCTCCTCGGGCACTGCCAACCCCCCTCATCCTCACAGCATGCACACTCTCAACACATCACTTTCATCCATAATTTGACGCCCTGGAAAAAACATCTTACTCGTCCTCTTCCGCTACCCCCTTTCTCACCTCGCATTCTTCCTCCTCACCTCACTTCTCCTCGCCTCTCCCCCCACCCCTCTCTCACTCACCGATCTGGGACGGTACATGGAGCTACTGCACTGCCAGCGCCCGTTCCTCACAACAGGAAGGCTCTCAATATGCTTGCATGATTCGCCGCATTAGACAACACATCACCCTCATCCTTTCCCCCTCCCCCACTTCTCACCCCGCACTCCTTTTCGTACCCACTCCCCCACTTCCTACTCCCCTCCTCCCTCTCACCGCGTGTGTTGGGGCGGTACAGAGAGCACGTGCACTGCCAGCGCCCCTTCCTGACAGCGGGCAGGCTTTCTATAGCCTTTGCCACATCGGTGTATGTCGCGAGCGACAGCAGTGAGGACGATGAGGGCGGCGGGGCTGTGCTGCCGGGGGGCTGGGGAGGAGGCGAGGGCTGCCAGTGCAGCAACCTGTGATGGTGGGGAGGAGAGAGAGTGGAGAAGAGAAGAGGGGGGGTATGGAGGACGAGGGAGCGGGGGACGAAGCGGGTGATGAGGAAGCGCGAGGAGAGGAGAGGCTGCGTGATTAATGCGTGGCAAAGGTGACGAGTCTGTGGAGGTACCGACAGTCGTTGTGCGCGCGGGTATGGCGTGCGCGCAATGAGGGTGTGCGCGCAGGGAGACTGTGCGCGCGGGGAGACTGTGCGCGCAGGGAGACTGTGCGCGCAGGGAGACTGTGCGCGCAGGGAGACTATGCGCGCAAAGAGACTGCGCGCAGGGAAACTGTTCGCGCAGGGAGACTGTGCGCGCAGGGAGACTGCGCGCGCAGGGAGACTGTGCGCGGAGGGAGACTGTGCGCGCAGGGAGACTGTGCGCGCAGGGAGACTGTGCGCGCAGGGAGACTGTGCGCGCAGGGAGGGTGTGCGAGCAGGGAGGGTGGGCGAGCAGGGAAGGTTTGCGCGCAGGGAGGGTGCGCGCGCAGGGGGGGTGGGAGTGGGGGGAGGTCACGCAGAC